CGATCTGGGCTTTCAACGATCATTAAAAATGACTGAGCCGATTATTAGCCCCTCCCTCGTGCTTTACTCTCGCGCTGCTCCGTGTGGCAAATCGAGCGCACCTCTCTGCATTTCGAACATGTCACGGTCTGGCTAGGGCAGACCGTATGTTGCAGGAAGGACTCAAGCGCAGACCGAAATGAGGTATGAATAACAAAACAAGCCGTTTATTAAGGCAAGAAACAGGGTACAAAATAATAGGGATGGTGAAAACTAAACATACCTAAACTGGGTGAACTAATAACAAAACATGAAAAACCTTAACCATAATGAACTGACACGGGTACCTGGAGATGAGACATGGATGAGCAGTACAATGGGTGAAATACAACAGACGACCTGACAACAATGACTGAAAGCACACGGACTAAATAACACAGGAGATAATAGGAAAGTGGCAACACCTGGGGAAACAGCTGGCACACATGAACATAATGACGTCACAGTGGGAGAGTAAAACTGAACACAGAAACGCCAGACCTCTTCACAATAAAACAGGAAACAGAGTGAGACATAGACATGACAACCTGAACTTGACAACATAAGCCACAGACATGAAATACATGAAAAGCAGGGGAGACTTAACATGGTGGAAACACGAGGGGAAAATAACTAGAAACACCTAGGCATGAAAACGATGAACTTAGGAAACCTGAAGGCTACATAAACTAAACACAAAACGCTGGGTCAGCAGACCCAGGATCATGACAGAACACGTGTCACAACAATTAAGATCAGCGGTCCCCAACCTTTTTTGCGCCACGGACCGGTTTATGCGACAATATTTTCACAGACCGGCCTTTAAGGTGTCGCGGATAAATACAACAAAATAAAACTAGTACCGGTACCAAAAAAAGATTTATTCATAACACACGTGAAAAGACCCAGGAAAACCGAGTAAAAAAAAACGATAACAAAATAACAAAACCCGTAAAACCATACATTTCACACCTGAGCCTCAACTCTCGCGGCCCGGTACCAAACGACTCACGGACCAGTCAGCCACGGGTTGGGACTTGATTAGGGATGGGTATCGTTTAGGTTTTATCCGATACCGGTGCCAAACCGGTACTTTTGAAACGGTGCCGGTGCTTAAACGGTGCTCAAACCGGTGCTTAAAGAATGGAGAACACAAAATTGGTCCAAAAACCTCTCATGTTCAGCTGTTTTTTTGTAAAAAGATAACAATGTTAGCCTTTTCTGCAGCTATGGGGCATATATGGTATCACTCTTGGCTGGAAGCAGTGCTTAAACAATGGAAAAAACACAAACTTTGTCCAAAAACCTCTCATGTTTAGACTGTTTCCCTCTTTTTCTTTGGTCATTTTAGCCTTTTTGGCCAGGGTGAAGGGAGTATCTGCCATCAAACAAGAAGACAGCCGCATGTAGCTATGATGATGTTTGCTAGTTCACCTTACATGCATTAATGTAATAACGTGGTTAGCCTACTCAACGTAAATTACACACAACAACATAAGCTACTCACGCAGAGAAGAACGGCTGCTGCTGCCATCATCATCCTCATCATTTCTGCTACACTGGCAGGGCTAGGGGCCAGGACTCTCCTCTTCGGGTTCTTGGGGGATGTTGCTAACTCCGGGTCCGATAACAGGCACCACACCCGCAGTAGATGTGCTCGGTGTGAGGTCTCGCAGCAAGCTATCAAATACGGCGCATTTCTCGGCTTTTAAAAAAAACGCTATGCGTCGCCAGGTGTTTCATCGGATTTGAGGTGTTACCTCCTTTGACAGTATCACAGTATCAGCTTAAAGCACTTGTTGGCTGCTGAGTTTGCATATTTTGCTGTGAAGTACAGCCAGACTTTTGACCGCTTCGCCTTGGGCATTTTTAATCTGTAGCTCTGCTCTAAAAGAACGTACGTACCTGGCCCCGCCTACTATCCTCGGAAACGTAAAATGATTGGCTAGAAGTGTATCACAGCTCAGGAAAAAAAAGCACCGAAATAAAGCACCGAAATGTGCGCTGCTTTTTCTTTCAGTGAAAATAATCGTGATTATCATTTTTGCCATAATCGAGCAGCCCTAATTAGTGTTTATGATTATAATTAAAATATAACAGTGCTATGGGTCAGTTAATGACCCTGATGAGGATAAGTGAAGAGAACGGACGGATGAATTTGCCTTTGCTGAGGGAAGTTCTCTCCTGCTGAGAACTGAATGAGGCTGATTCCTACTTTAAATGCCTGCATATTAGAAATGAGAGCTTGCTAAGCTGGTTAGCTTAACATATCGCCAAGACTGGTAACAGCTGCTCTGGCTCAGTCCAAATGTCACAACATTTACATGAGAGAGCCTTTAAAGGTTATCATGCTATAGCTCATTTGTTTAATGCGCAATTAGAGCTTCGGTGATGCGAAGACTCCAGAAAGTAAAACAAGAGTCCAAATCTAAACATTGTTTTAACGAGCAGATATTAACGTGTGAATTCTTCCCCGTATCCTCGTGAGATTACGCCTGTGCGTATTTGTCCAGTCGGACACTGATCCAGAACGTTTTTGGTGTGCGCCCCATGTGTTTACTCTGCCTCGGCGAACGGGGATAATTAAATCCTTTCTCTCTTATTTTCCTCTCCTCTCTGCTTATTCCTCGCGACACTCCTCCTCCGCTCCTGTCTGTTCGTGTTATGCACATTGCTCCCTTTTCTTCTCACCCCAGTACTTTCTCGCGGTCCACTCCCTCCTTATTCCTCGGCTGTTTATGTGTCACAGGCAGCGGAGTGGCGTCTGCGTTGAAGTCATCACTAATTCAAAGCAAACAGCGTGCCTTTATTTTCCTCACTGATGTATTATGCATCCATTATTCCGCTAAGATATTTCTAATAAGCACACATCACACGCACACAAAGAGTTTTATTCTATTATTCTGTGCAAAATCCTCTAAACTAGACTTCAGCTGATGGTGCAAAACAATCCGCTGCACAAGCACATCAACAAGAATTTCTCCAGAGAGGAAACCTTTTGTCTCTTCTTCCACTTCTTTTGCTCTTAAACCTCACTCGGTCCGCTAGAGTTTGGGAAAGCGATTACCGCTCTCAAACATATTACCTGCTGTTACTTTGTGGTGGCCCTAAGAGGGCATTTCATGTAATCTCTCCACTTTTCACCCTATTTCCCCCCTCCAGGCCCTCTCAGCAACAATGGGATCCCTTCACTCCACCGCTTCATCGACTTCATGTCGTGCATGCTGCCTAATAACAGTTATCTTAATTGAAATCAATGGAGGGATATAGAATCGACTGTTGCCGAGGGGGAGCTGGGCGGAGGTGGCTCCCTGCTCCTCTGCCGCTGCTCCCTTCACGCTCGTCCGTCTCAGAGAGATAAATGGCCCTCATAAAAACAAAATCAAATGAAATAATTGTAATTTTAATCGATGGAAATGTTGGTTGTGATACAAACAGCAGTCCTGCCTGGTTTGAAGCTTGTTTGTGCTTGTTTTTTTCTTTCGTCAGCTCTTCTGTTGTCTTTGGTAGTTGACAGAAGAGACAGACAGGAAAGATGGGAGGGAGGCGTGATGACATGTGACAAAGGTTGCATGCCAGATTGGCGGGTACACAGTATGCGCCTGAGTCATCTGAGCTGCCACGACACCATCAGACCCCGCGGTTTATAGCACTTGCTCCAGCTCCAAGAAGAATTATTCAAATGGCTCTGCAGGGTAGATGCTCCTATGTGGCATCGCTCTTATTACAGCCACCAGTAGCAGTTCTGATGCATTAATTACCGTTTAAGGTTTCATACCTCACAGATGTATACAGTATATTCAGTATCAGGCCTGGCTTTCACTCTCAGATCATATGAAATTCAGCACCATCCTCATACACATTAGGGGTACAACGATACTCGTATCGATATTGAGCCGTTCGATACAGTGGTTTCGGTTCGGTACGTATATGTATCGAACAATACAACATTTTTAATTTAATTTATCAACTTTTCTTCTGACGATGCTGTCTGTGTTGAGCGCTCAGTGAATCTGCGTTCGACTACTCCGCCTAGGCTGCACTGTCGAGCGCAGATCCACTGAGCGCAGCGCAAGCTAGCAAGACAGAAGTTAAGCTCGTTGCAACATGGCAAACTGAACCTCCCCCACCCTCATTCAGATCTGGCGTTTGGAACTATTTTGGTTTTCATGTGAAGTATGACCCTGAAGGTAAGTGCGTCATGGACTAAAGTAAAACAGTATGTCGGATGTGCCACGCAACGCTCAATTACATTAGTGGGAATTAGTGCGTTAACGCAGTTTGCTCGTTAACGTGTTGCCGTCCAGCCCCAGGCACGGGGCGATCCGCGGTAGCTCGTTAACGGAAATTTGCCGTGTTGTGGCGTTAACGTCATTTCAGATTTACGCTGACAGCACTAGTGGGAACACAACGAATATGACTGCACATTTACTCCGACATGATCCTAGTGCAAAGACAAAAACAACAAGCACGCATGCTACAAACTTTACCCGAGTCATTCAGACAGCCGTTAGCACAGGATTCTCCTTATGGGGACCTGATATGTTTAATATGCTGCTGAGAATATAGCCCAGAAGAAGCGGATAGTAGAGCTTTTATTTTGGAAAGAGCCATTTCTCTGTAATAAACTCTCTTTTCCAAAGATGAGGGATTCCTCAATCAGATTAATTTTTTTATTACTTTGTTGTTTCAGCAACATTAAATTTAAAAACTGTACTTTTGAGTTAAAATATATATTTATAATTTTAATAAATGACAAATTAAAAAAGCACAACATTTTTTTTGTATCGAAAAAATATCGAACCGAGACACCAAAGTATCGAACCGAACCGTGAATTTTGTGTATCGTTGCACCCCTAATAAACATAATTATGATTGTGCTGATGCCAGACTACCGTCTCCTTAGTTTATGTGATAATTTTATGTTAAGGTTCTTGCTGTTTTTAAAAAAATCTGAGCATACACATTTAAACACCATCGTAAACTGAGTCTAGCCTCTTCTCCTGAACCTTTGCGAACTGCAGTGTTTCTCAGGGACTCTTGATTCAGTTCTGTTGGCCAACATTCAACTTTTCAACAGGAGCACTAAGATGCGACGTCGGCCGGTGGGAAATTAGAGTAGCTATAATGAATATAGAATTAAATTCTCAAATTTTAACATCCAAGGTTGTGTGTAGGACACTGCAGAGCCAATAGAGAGCCACAGTCACTGTTGCACTATAGAGGGTATTAATGACTGTGCACGGTAGCGGTGTCCTGGCAGCAGGCTGGAAGCATCTGGAATGCAGACAGAGTCCTAATTACAGAGAGGAATGGAGAACTAAGCAGAGGAACCAGGCTCGCCTGCTCTTTTTGTCAGAGACAGAATGGAGCCTGATTCACACGTGTGAAATGAAGGTTAGTCCCACTCTGTTTGCTAGGACACTGGGGTGATTTTCCTTTTTTAGGGACCCAGAGTCACACTGAACAAGCTGCAGAAGCAAAAGCAAAAGACCAGGTCTAACCCGGCTAACCTGGATGCTTTTATGAACTCCACTTTTTACAAATTGACGAGCAATGATTTGTAAATCTCATCATGTTTTATTCACAGTAGAACACAGAAAACTGAGAAAATTTACAGTTTTAAGAAAAAACAATAAGGTCATTTTAAAATTGATGGCAGCAACACGTCTCTCAAAAGTTGGAAAGAGGGCGAGAAAAGTAAGTGGTATTAAAACGAAACACCTGGAGGTATGTTTTGCATCTAATTAGCTTAACTGGTAACCTGATTAGATGGAAAATGTAGCCTAATTAGGTTAATTAGCAACAGGTGAGTATAGAAAGAGGATCTTAGCGAGGCAGTGTTTCTGAATCTACAAATTGTAGAAAAATTTCAGAATAATGTTCCTCTATGCACAATTCTGAAGACTTTGAAGATCTCGTTATCTGCAGTACGTAAGGCAAAAGTTTGAGAATCTGGGGAAATCTCAAGGGATGAGGCCAACAATCAGTAGTGGATGCCTGTGATCTTTGGGCCCTCAGCTGGCATTGCATTAAGAGCAGGAATGACTCGGTTGTTAAAATCACTGCACGGGATGAGCAGCACTTCCAGGAATTATTGTCTGTGCGCACAGTTCATCACAAATGCAAAGAAGAAGCCGAATGTGAACTTGATCCGGAAACACCACCATCTTTTTTCTCTGAGGCAAAGTCCGACCCCGGACAAAGCGGATGACGATGGATGGATGGATGGATGGCAAAGTGGAAAACGGTCGTGTGATCCGACTAATCTGAATTTGAAAAGTGAAAAGTACATACAGGCTTTAGAGCAACAAATTCTCCCGTCCTGGTGGAAGGCCTTGCACATTTCTGCAAGATAACGTTAAACCACACGCTGCATCTATTACAACAGCATGGCTTCATAGTAGACGAGTCCAGACCTTTCACCAGTTTGGCAGAATGAAGAAGAGGCGGGACTGCTGAGCAGAGAGAAGGAGATAGAGAAGGATAAACAACATTCCTCTCCCAGAAGTCCGGCAACTTCTCTCCTCCATTCCTGATGTTTACTTTTTTGATTATCAAATTCAAAATCTGCTATTATTTTATGTAAAATAGCATCATGTCAGAGTTTAAACGTTTGATATGTTTTCTATGTTCTATTGGGAATAAAATAGAATTCAGGTTACATTAAATGAGGGACTTTGATTTATTTCTTTGACTATGATGTTACTTAGAACTGCTCCAAAAATGTACTACTGTCCTAAAAAGGTTACTGCTACATTACACTGTAGTGGGCTTACAAAGATTACAGCCTATCAATGTATAAGGCTACAATTTAACAATGCAAAACTGATATAATTCCTATATGTTTTTTTGCTGATGATAGCAGGTTTTTACAAGTGAGAAGAGCACATGGAACAGATGGAATAAATACTGTGGACAATCATCTGTTGGATGAACTTCTTGAACTTTTTCACATTTAGTGTTGCAGTTTGTTTAGATAGACTTGGCCTGTGTGTGTGTGTGTGTGTGTGTGTGTGCCTCTTTGTTTAAACAACTTCTTTGTATGCTTCATTTTACAGGCTTGATACATGCAAAGAGCACAGCTGACAGCTGTTGCTAAAGGGCCAGTGTCCTGTTTACTTAATGAATGAAATAATAGATTCCACTGGTTTACTAGAAACCTCGCAACCGCATACAAAAGAGATTATGTTAGATTAGATGCGTGTTACGTGACATCCGTCTGCTGTTATCATATTGCATCAAACTGCAGCTGCAATTTCATTAACTCTTCCACACAGACATACACATGCACATTGAAAATGTGGGTATTATTATATGAAAATCACCCCTCATGCATTCCCCCTGTTGCCCAGTTTAAAACCATTTTGAACTGATTTGAAAAGTAAGGCTGCAGAGGAAGTACCTCAAACCTGCATTCTTTCTGCGGGCCAGCAGGGGGCGACTCCTCTGGTTTGAGAACAGAAGCCGGTGGTACAGAAGTCCATCGTCTCCCTCAATCTATTATCTACTTGTTTCAAGTCCTGCTGAATGCAATATCATGTTCATTTTATATATTATGATCCCCATTAGTATCATGTACATATACTTGGCACAATGGCTGCGTATATATAAAGTGAGGAATCTCTCTCCCAAGATGTTTTTTCAGTGTTGAGTTAGTGGTTCACATAACTGTTAGAGCACTTTCTGTCTTTCATATTTATTCATCCTGATAACACAAATATAGAAATTTTCCAGATGGCACAAAATCTAAAAAGCGTGTCATTGGAGAAATGACATCTCCACTTAGACGACCTCAGATTGGCATTCATGCGCACGTTCGCTCATTCCAGTCGTTCCAAATGAAGAAGTGTTAACAAAACCGAGCTGATCAACAGTAGCTGTCATTTCTCAGGATTCAGGTACTGGAAAAGTGGAATTATTGAGTCCTGGATCTTTGCATGCATATGAGCATGTTTGTCTTTCCATCTCTATGTATGCCAGCATATTTGAACACATTGTGCGCGGTGCTTGTGTGTGTGTGTACGCATGTTGAAGTGGTAATGAGGCATGAAATCAGACATGGCTGGTCCTGAGCAGATATGAATGGAGGCTTGGTTTTGTCACACAGGGGCTACACTGTAGGCTGTTCAAACACTACCCTCTCTGTCCCTTTGCTATGTGTCCCCTGGGGGGTTGGGGCGCAGCGTAATGATATTTATGTGGATGAGGGGGGGTCCTTCTCCAGAACATAAACACAGAGGCCCACCCTCCTTCCTCCCCCTCTTGCTGTGGCTCTTTCCCGTCTCTCAGCATTGACAGGTGACGGTGAAGTGTGACCACCGAGGAGGAGCGGCGACTGGGGGAGGGGAATAATGGTTTCCACACTGGTTATGGTTACTCTGGTGACCTTCTGGCCCCTGTGGAAATAATTACTCAACACCATCATTAGGTGTGGCCTTGTGATGCAAGAATATACTTGAGTCTGCCAGTGGTGAGACTGCCCACTGGACGGTTGCCTTTTTTACCCAGCCATTGCTGGGTTTCTATGGTAACGAAAGCTAAACCGCTGGGTTTAGCATATATGTGTGTGGTCTTAAGCTAATGAGCTATATGGATGGATGCAAGCAGGTTAGCAGATGTAGTTTCTCTCAACTTTGAGGCTCCATGTTTTGTTTTTTTGACCCTCTGTGGTTACTTATTACTCAAGAAATGCAAAAGTGCTCGGATTGTTTAGTTTCTACTTTTAAAATAAAATTAATAAAAATCTGAGTTCAGCATAAGTGCTAATACATTAAAGATATACTTACTTGTTAGGGGTTACATATGTGGAAGCTAAAGTCCAAAGTGGTCCCGGAGATTATTATAATATATTGTGACAAACTAAATTAATTTTACCTGACTTGCTTGCTTCTACTAAGCTTAACCTACCTCCCATCCGTCCATCCGTCTGTCTTATTCCTTCCTTCCTCCGAGCCATCGTTGCAGCAGTCTAAGAAGAGCTGCCCAGACTTTATTCTCCCCAACACCTCCTCCAGCTCTTCTGGGAGGATATGACACATTCCCAAGCCAGCTGAGAAACAGGATCTTATTCTTTCAGATACTTCCCATCTTGTCCTTGTGTATTTTATTATTTATTGTTGTACAATAAGATAAAATGTCAATGAGAGCCCCTCAAAACGCAGTTGTTTCTGGGGAAGCTTAGGTTGCGGAGCCCCTGTCTCCATCCCAAATGATCTGAATCTGTTATAAATCTACGAAGCTTTAGCTCGATCAGTGAGCAGTGTCGTCTCCCACAAATCGTGTTCAGTGGTATTTCTTTACATTGAAAGGAGGAGTCAGATTTCAACACAATAAAACATGACGATGACTCAAATGAAATTTAATAAGTAACCAGATGTTTCTTTTATTTAATAGCATTATTACAATCAAGTAACTTTAATGAGTCGATTTGCTGCGCTGATTATGGCAGGTTCTCACGTGTTCTCGTTATAGTCATTCATTAATTATTCTTTCATGATGAATGAATTGCTAAAAACCGAAGAGAGGATGCTTCACTGTTTGAGCTGCAGATCCAAAATAATCTCTGCCAAATCCTAACAATCCTCCACATTACACTGTGGAGCTTTTTTCTTTTTTTGCAGTCCCTTGGCTGTTAGAGCTGGAGCACTATTTTCTGTCTGTTGCATCCACCCAATCATCTAAATCTGTCTGTGTGTGTTAGTGCTTTGCAAATCCATTTGAGTCTATTCCATCTGCACCGTTAATATTTATGTTGCACTGTTCACCAGCATTTCACCTTTAATTCAGTTTGATATGATACGATTCATTTCATTTTGATATAGTTTTGCATATATCAAATTAATATGTAGCTACATGGCTCCAAACCATAAGCTGTTGCCTCAAGTTGCTATGTAGCTATATATTAATTTGATATATACAGAAATAGTACAGTCTTACAATAATACAGAGAAAACCTCAAGAATCAAACGCTCCCCTATGAATAAGCACTTGGCGAAAGTCGGGAGCAAAAACTCCCTTTTAACAGGAAGAAACCTCCAGCAGAACCGGGCTCAGGGAGGGGCGGGGCCATCTGCTGTGACCAGCTGGAGGTGAGGGAGGAACACAGGACTAAAGACACACTGTGGAAGAGAGACAGAGATTCATAATAACTAATGATTAAGTGCAGAGTGGTGTATAAACCCGATCCATCCCTGACTAATAAGCATTTCAAAAAGTAGACGTCTGTCTGCTGAATCCAAACTGGGAGCTGGTTCAGCAGATGAGGACCTGAAAGCTGAAGGCTCTGCCTCCCATCCTACTTTTAAAGTTGGAAGCCTGCAGTCCATCAGCAAAGTGCTCTACTGGGATGATACGGTATTGTGAGGCCTTTAAGGTAAGGCGGGACCTGATGATTTAGGAGCCAATGAGGAGCAGCCAAAAGCTTGCTTGTGTGGATGGATGATGTCATGCCAGAAAAGACTTGATAAACATCAACAAATAAGATTCTGGTCAGCAGCGCTGTCAGTCAAGAAGAAAATGAATCAGCAGTTTTGCTGGTACAATCCAGAAAGCTAATTGAAGATTAATTTGACGTAATCCAAATTCAGACTCACATCCTGCGACGTTATTCATTTTCTTGACAAAAGCTACACAGACACACACAGACACACATGCACAAACATAATTTCCTGTCTCCCCTCAATAGCAATCTTCTGACTCTTGGGTCATGAGAGGAAATTGAACTGGCTCTTGGTAGTTTGGCCCTCGTTCCTCGCGTCCAAACAAAGTAACCTTTTGGCTTTTTTCAAAGCAAGAGAATGATTGACTTGACTTCCTGCTGGTGGAATTTAAAGTCAAATTTAAGAGGATTAATAATCCAGATGCTTGTATGTAAGTGCAGCCGCTTAAATAAGTTGGAATTATTTGCACGGTACACATAAGAAAGGACCGCTGACCCTCTGCATGTTTCCAAACTATAAGAGTAACAGAGAATATCTGCAAAGGTTCAACTGGCTTGCATTACAATGCAGCGCGTAGGTTGATGCACCACTAAAAATAGTACTGTCATCTTACATGTGCATTATTAATAAAGCCATAGAACTATTTTGTATTTTGCAAACTTGAGCCCTAGAAACACTTTAAACAGTCCTGTATTAGGACGCTCGATGGCACGTTGACCTTCTTGATCTGTTCTGGGTTCCTTAAATTAGCAGTGACAAAAAATGCCAGAAAACACTGAATTCTTTGTGTGGTTTTGTTAGTTTGAACGACTCCTAGTAAGTAGCATATTGCTCATGTTATTGGAGCACCTCTCTGGCTACATTCTCCCTTGGGGGGAATCCAGACTCCACTTTTACAACTACTGGCCTAGAAAAGTCACACCGGGTCTAAAATTAATTATAACACTGGAAGTCAGCTCGCAGTCTGGGCTGTCCGTGTCTGCGTGTGTAGCAGCAATTGTGCAATAGCAATGTTTTGCATGTGTGTTTAAGGTTGACCTGTCTGTCGGGACCTTGTGTTTGTAAGTGTGTGTGCGGCCTAAACAGCCTCCCTGTAGCTGTCTGCTCGCAGCTGGTGAATGGGGCCTTGGCCATGAGACCCAGCCGCTGCTCACCATCTGCCAGTGTCCTTGCGCGGCGCTCTGAGGAGTTCAGACAGAGTGTCGCGCACAAACAACAGAAGCCCAGAGAAACACGGTAGCGGGCGCGCGCAGATCATATACCAGCATGCACTGATACGTGTAAACACGCTCATCTCGCCGTCACCTCCTGTTCATCGACATGCGGCGACTGTTGAGAGGCATGGGACGGAGCCGGTGACTGAACAGCCTCGATAGCCTAATGACAGGTTAAAATGGAGAGCAACAGCGAGGATGACGATGGTGAGGGTGGTAATCGCACCATCCGTTTCAAAGACTCACTTTCTCCTGAAGTTCACATGATATTATGAGGCTGGCTTCATGTCAGAAGAAGAAAAACACTCATCCTGACTGTGGAACTTACGGATACTGCGTCTTAAATGCAGGCGACACATT